GGAAAGGACCATCGTCGGGGAGGGAGCTCGGAACAGCGCCCCTGTTCGCCGTATCACCTCTAGTCGCTATGCATTGTCATCAAGGTGATCATCAGCCCCTTAGATAGGAAATGGAGGGTCGGGTGGGGCCGGCGTAGCCGCTCGGTGCCCACGCCGTCGTGCCGGTGCACGCACGGGTGCCGAGGGATGTTGCCGTGGCAAAGAAGAGAAAGGAGAGGGTGGTAGATGTAAAACCTGTGACCTAGCGTAATAGTGCTCGGGTTAGTTGTGCGAATAGGGGAAATAGCAGGGGCTTCTTTGCTAATGCGCCAGACGCGCGCGGCTCCGCTGTGGGCCGCCTGTGTTTTGCCGCATCGCGCGATGTAGTGTGGGCCGCGCCGGTGGCTACATGCGCGCGCGGGCGGGAAGCCGGATTGGGCCGTGTCGGTGCTAGCGTGGGCCGCGAAATAGAAAGCGGTTTCATCCTTCCAATGAATTTGTTAATGCTTATTCAATTTAGTTTTCAAGCTGAACTTTGATAATTTATCATAAATTGTGTAGTGGTTCAAAAATAGCGAGACTAATTTTGTTAGGTTCGCAAAAATACCATCTACTTGTTAGTATAATTAGATTGCAGTTAGATGTGGAAAGTATTGGGTCATAAATTCAAAACTAGAGAGCTAATATTATGTAGATTAATATTTGTAGGAATATTTATGGAAAATTGGTGATAGCTATAGATATAAAAATTTTACAGTAGATTCACTAGGTTATTATATACTTGCTGTAAATTTTATAGCCTTAGAATGAGTTGCTAAATAAAGTAGCTATTACCCTTGCTTTATCGTATACAACGTAAATCAACATTAGGAGTAAGAATACCTGTAGTTGCTATAATAATAATGAATGTCATACTTTAAACTTGTTATCGGTAACAATAGATGGCTTAGTACCGTGGTCGGTAGCACTAGCTTAGTAGTTAAACAGATGTACTTTTATTTTAAGAGTTGTTGTTGTCATATCATTAAGCATTACATCATCATTTCATGTAGATCGCGAGCTGGTAGAATGCGTGCCCGTCGATGAACAGGAGTACGACGTTGATTGAGGAGTACGAGGAGGAGATCCTCGTGCAAGAGAGAGCCCCGGAGCCTATTGGTGCTGACCTTATTGACCCGTCGCCTGCCCAAGGCAAGCCCCGGTGCATAACCCATATTTTAATGATCACTGAATATATATATGTGATGTGCATTTAAGTTACAGGCATTTTATGGAAACTACATGCATAAATATATCTACCTATGAGTCCTACTAATACAGGTTGAGTAGCTGCTATGCTCAGGATATCGGTAGCGTGAGTAACCTGCCGTTACTCGTAAATATATGATAAAATATAATCACTCATGATAAAATGGTGGAAAGGTAAATGGTGACCGGGCAGGGATATGGTTTGGGTATTGATGGGTGTAAAGGGTTGTGTCCTACGGCCAACAAGGCATAGCTCAGTTACACTTTTTTCCTATCTGTGTCGATTAAGGACCGGTCGTTGCATATGACTCTAGGCAAGTCATAGATTTATTGTCCCGAGCACATACTTGGGTATAGGCGCAGGGAAGACTTGTTGCTCTCTCATCGTGGATCCAGCTCTTTCCGGACCGACTGATTGGAGGCGGAGATGGTGGAGGTCCTTGCACCATACTGACTCCGGGACTCAGGAGTGGGGGCTTGGAGTCCAAGTTTGGATAGGGACCTGGACACCCGGAACAGGTGAGTGATGGGTTAGTCCTGCTTGTGCCTAGGGTACAAGAGGGGCATGTGTTTTCGGGGCACCCAGCTGGGCACATTGATTCGCGAATCGCCAAGAAATTCGGTATGACTTGTCTGCGGTTTAGCACTATAGTAAGAACTGAAAGTTGAAAGGAGAAGAAATGGAACTGATTGCTCAACTCTTGCTTGAAAGTAGAATATATGCTTATATAGACTGGCTAGATGATAACTTAATATGGCTAATAATAATACATAAATAAGGATTCACTATTAATATTGCTTTCTGCCAAAAGAAATCAGCCAACCATAAAGCTTATCATGTTTCTTGGAGTCGGGAAATTATTCTCACTAGTCGGATAAGTCTTGCGAGTATATTGTGTACTCAGGGTTTATTTACCCCTGTTGCAGGTGATGCATGAGAAGTACCTTTGTGTGGAGGATTCTTCTGGTGGGCTCAGACGGAATCCTCGCTCCTATCGCTAGATGTTTATTTAAATTCTGATGTTTATCATTCCGCACTCTGACATTTGATAATGTAATAATGTACTTTTTAAGAATCTCTGATGTATGAAATAGACTTGTATTATAACTCGTTCTCATTATTGGATTCTTGGGAAAAATGTGGATCTTTCGGGTTCTCCCTTGGGGTGTGTCCGACGGATACCGCTCGCGGTAGCCTATTTTCAGGGTGCTTAGTGTCTGGTGGGAGACGAGCACCTCCGTAAGCGTGCTATTTCGGACGGTTCCGCCACAGTTGGTACCAGAGCCAATAATGGTTACGAGTTCATCACCCTTTTTCAAAACTTAAAAATTTGACCCACAAAAGTTTTGCGAAAAATAGGATGCGATTATATTAGGTAAATAAGTATAAGCCCTAGCAATATGGTCTATCTAGGATAGCGGCACTGGTTTTATCTAATCAGTTTTCTGCAGGTACACTGATTATTTATGTCTCTACGTTGCTTCTATGTATATTATATTAGGAACAACGATGGATCACAGAGTCGACCGAAGTAGCAAAAAAATGGTGCCTTGATGATCGTGTCACCAATGGAATGCTAATCTTTGGTTATATCTTGCTCAGGCAAGCCCCAGTGCATAACCCCTATTATTCTACACTTATTTTATGCTTGTGCATTAAGTTTTAAGAAGTTGAATAAAACCACTTGCATATATATCTTATCCTATGAGTCCTACTAGTATGTCAGGATCGAGTAAATTGCTATGCTATAGGATCCGGTAGAAGTCGAGTGATTACCTGTCACTCGCGAGAGATAAGAAAAATATTATTGTTGTTATTATATTACTATCACATGGAATATATATATGAAGGATAATTAGAGACCGGTGGAATGGTACTTTGGATTTAGACTTGGTTAGGCATTCGAGCGAGGCTCGGATTGTACTTGTTCCACCTGTATCGATTGAGGACCATCCATTGTTGTGGATGGTAGTTAGGACACAGACTTATTATCCTGAGCACATACTTGCTTATGGAAGCGGGAAGGCTCGTTACGCTCTTATCGTGGGTTCTGGCTCTTTTCGGACCGAGTGATTGGAGGCGGGGAAAGGTGGAGGTCTAAGCACCATGCTGAGACCGGGTCTCAAATGTGGGGGCTTGGAGTCCAAGTTTAGACGGGGACCTAGACCCCTCGACAGGAGTGGAATGGGTTGGTCTTGTTTGTGCCTGGGGTACAAACGGGACGTGTGTTTCGGGGTACTCAGCTGGGATACATTGATTCGTGAATCGTCGTTTCTGTGAGATGGTACCGGCTTGGCTATATTCTAGTATCGTAGTAAGGACTGGAATATGAAAGATGATAAAATGGTTCTAATTGCTCACCACCTGCTTGAAACTAGCATAGGAGCTAACATAGAATGGATAGTTAATGAACTAATGATGACTGCTAATAAAAATTTAATATAAGGACGCACGTTTAGTAATGTTTTTATAGATGCAATAACCCACAAGCCAAATAAGCGTTGCATATTCTTGGAGTCTTTTATTTTTTCCTCCTATCGGGTAAGTCTTGCTGAGTACAATCGAGTACTCAGGGTTTTATTCCCCCTATTGCGGATGATCGGATGATACATAGAGCTGACTCTTGTGTGTGGAAACCTCCTGGTGGGCTTAGAGAGTATTCCTTTCACGCTACGACCGTAGTGTTTATTTATAACCCTTACTAAAGGTTTTTTATAAGAAAAGATATAAAATCTGCCAGCATCTCTCGTATATAAACGTCCACTGTTAATACTCCACCATGTTATTAAATTAATATTTGTTTTCTCTATAACTCTGATAACATTGTTATATTTTGCTGTTATAATCAATTGAGGTAATATTCTGTTACTGTAATAAAGTGATGTAAGAAATGGTTTAAAAATGTTGTAAGCTTTATTATCTCATTTATGATCTGATAGAAAAATGTGGATTTTCGAGTTCTCCCTTGGGGTGTGCTCGACAAAACTGCGTAGTTTAGTGTACTCTCTTGAGTACTTAGTGTCTAATGGAAGACAAGTACTCTTATGAAGTATTAGATTATGCGGTTCTGCCACACTGCCTTCAACCACAGGGTGCCACTCCATCAATGACTGGTGAAAGCGTGTTCGAAGCTGCTACACCGAAGCTCACAGGCGTGACGTCGACACTCTTCGCGCGGGTAGGTTGAGAGATTTAGAAGTAGAACGTGTGTTGCTTCCGCGGTATAGCAACTTCTGTGACGCTAGACACGATGAAGCACGAAAGTCGACCAATGGGTCGAGGCCAGTGCCAATAATCTCGGTTGCCTAGTTATGGAGTAATAGCACATTATAGACAATCTTGTGCCGCGGTTAGGAGCACTAAAACTCCTACTTGCGAAGGGCAATCTAAAGTGTTGACATATAACTCTTCTGCCTTAAATATAAAAGATGAACAAGTTTTTTTTGCTAAAAATACTAATAATATTAATATAATAATAACTTTTATAATATAATATAATAGTACTTCATGAGTAGTGGAAGTATTAAGGCCGGATCAAAGGTTGTTCAAACGATTGTTGTCAAAAAAAAAAAAAGTTGTTCAATCGAACCGGATCGGCTCAGCAATTCCCAACACCGGGCCCAATTTCCAGTCTTTTGAGTTTCTGACTACACTACCCTGGCCCTGGATCCGCCTCCCGTCTCTGACCTCCCCACCTCGCCGCCGCCGCCGCTCATCTCCATCAGGCCCGGCGTCCAGCAATGCCCGCCACCACGCCATAGCTCACCGCGCGATGCCCTCGCCCGCGCCCACGGCGCTGCCCCGTCTCCTCGCCGCCATCTCCGCCGCCGCCTCCTCGCCCACTGACCTCCGCCGCCTCTCCCACCTCCTCATCTCCCCCTCGGCGCCTCTGCCCCCCATCCGGTGTCTCAACACCCTCCTCATGGCGCTCGCCCGCCACGGCATGCTCTCGGACATGGAGTCGCTCGCCGCCCGCATGCCCGCCCGCAACCTCCACACCTACACCACCCTCATCAACGCTTATTGCCTCGCCGGCGACCTCCCCGCCGCCAAGCGCCACCTGTCCTCGCTCCTGCGCGCCGGCCTCGCACCGGACTCCCACGCCTACACGTCCTTCGTCCTCGGTACTGCCGCACGGGGCTGCTCGCGCACGCCTGCCGATTGTTCTTGCTAATGCCGCTGCGGGGGTGCGCGCGCACCCCGTTCACGTACACGGCCCTGCTCCAGGGGCTATGTGGCGCTGGGATGGTGCGCGAGGCGATGGCGGTTTTCGCTGGGATGCGGCCTGATGGCTGTGCCCCTGATTCGCACGTCTACAGCACAATAGTGCACGGGTTATGTGGGGCAGGACGAGCTGGAGAGGCGGCTGCGCTGCTCACAGAGGCAATGGAGAAGGGATTTGTGCCGAATGTTGCTGTATACAATGCTTTGATTGATGGCTACTGCAGTACTGGGGACTTGGACCTTGCAGTTGACGTCTTCAAGGGGATGCAGAGTAAAGGGTGCTTGCCGAATGTTCGTACTTATACTGAGCTGATATGTGGGTTTTGCAAGTCGGGGAAAGTAGAGAGGGCCATGGTACTATACAGTCGGATGGTTGAGGCAGGTTTAGCTCCAAATGTGGTGACATACACAACCTTAATTCAGGGGCAGTGCAACGAGGGGCACTTGGAACATGCTTTTAGGCTGCTTCATTCAATGGAGGCTAGTGGGCTGGTCCCTAATGAGTGGACTTGCTTAGTGCTGATTGATGCTTTGTGCAAATGTGGGAGAATTGAGGAAGCTCAGCAGTTTCTCGGGTCTCTTGTTCAGAAGGGAATTAAGGTGAATCAGGTTGTCTACACCAGTATGATAGATGCATTGTGCAAGGCGGGAAATTTTGATGGTGCTCATAATCTGATGCAGAAAATGGTCACAGAAGGGTTTGTGCCAGACGCCCACACATACAGTTCGCTTATTGATGGACTATGCAGGGAAAATAAGCTGTCGGAAGCAATATCTCTGTTGGATGATATGATTGAGAATGGAGTACAAGCCAATGCCGTACCATTTACCATTCTAATTGATAAGCATGTCAGGAAGTTTGGGTCTGATTCCTCCAAAATGATATCTGATAGGATGGCTGTGGCAGGTGTTAAGCCTGACGTTGTCACTTATACAGTATTTATTCGCTCCTATTGTCAAGAGGGAAGGATGGAAGATGCTGAATCCATGATGATTCAGATGATCGATCATGGTGTTCACCCTAATTTAGCCACATATAACACATTGATTAAAGGATATGCAAATCTTGGACTAGTCAGTCAAGCATTTTCATCTTTTAAGAACATGGTTGATAATGGATGCAAGCCAAATGACGAGTCTTACACAGTTCTCCTTGGACTGCTACTAAAGAAAAATTCCTACCATGACTTAGTTACCAATTCTATTAATGTATGGAAAATAGTTGACATAAAAGTTCTCAAGGAACTCTTGGAGGAGGTGATTAAGCTTCAGTGCACCTCAGCCAGCTATATTTATGATTGTTTTATTAGATGTTTATGCAAAGTTGATAGATTGGAGGAAGCAAAAAGTTTTCTCGTAGGGATGCAGAGTGCTAACTTGACCCCAAGTGAGGATGTATATACTTGTATGATAGAATGTTGCTACAGAATGAAATTGCTAAAAGAAGCTTTAAGGTTTCTTGATTCAATGGTGGAAAGAGGCTATTTACCACGTTTAGAATCTTATAGGTTTATTATTTGTGCTCTTTGTGAGGAGGGAAGCTTTCATACTGCTAAAAGCATTTTTGGTGACATGTTGTCAAAGGAATACAACTGTGATGAGATTGTTTGGAAGATTTTGATTGATGGCTTATTACAAAACGGAAACACTGCTGACTGCTCCCGTCTGCTATCGTTCATGGAGGAACAGAATTGCCATCCTAGTTCTGCAATATATGCTAGGCTTACAAGTGAAATAACAGTTGCAAGTGAAGCTCAGGAAATTGCTACATGAATATGGTCAAACCGACCAACCTTAGTGTTGGTGTTGATGGGTCCATCAATTAGTACAAGGTACATGACTAATGTGCTCAAGCTTTATATATATTCTTTCTTTATGTTTTTGTTAGCATTGGACTACTGTCAATAAATGTTCATAATAAAGCATTGATTCTTGAATTCGTCTATAGTTGATGTAGCGGAATTCCCTATTGAACTAGGTAGTTTTAGAGGGCTTAATTATTGATAGTCAGCTTCATTCTAATGTTATATAGCACAGAGTGCATTCAACCTTATTTTGTTTGCTCAATTTCTCAAGGGGCACTATTATCCTTTTGAAATATTGTTTTCTGCTTGTGCAGATGCACGAATTGAAAGCATAAAAGACTTTGGCACTAGCAGTGCCCCTGTAATTGTGAGGAAGGATGTGGTAACACAAACAGGCCCTGATATAAGCAGGTCCTCTTCTCCCAGCATGAGATCTTCATTTTCCTGTTCACTATCGGTGCAACAAATCAAAGAGCTGGAGGGTTGTTTCTCTAACCTTGAGATTAGGGATGCACAGGTGGATGATCGGGTGACTCTGACTAGGTGGTCCAAGGCCCGAGGCTCTGCAAAAGGGCAACAGATATTATAGAGTGGAAGAAAAAAAACTATGGAATCTAAATCTTCTGCCTGGGAAGTAACACAAACTGTTAAGCGTATATCAAAGTAAGGGACTGCTATTACCGTTAATCCTTTTCAGATAAACTTAGTTGTTTGACAGGCCTTGTCCAGGCATACCATTATTTTTATGCACTATATTTTTCTTAGACTAACTCATACCATTATTTCTGTGCACTATCTTTTTATTAGACTTACTTTTTTTCTTCACGAAGTATTGTACTTATGACCTCTTCATAGAACTGTGCAGCATATTCAGGTATTGTGTCCTCTAATATGTTATCCTGCTGATGACACAGAGGCCAATAATTTTCTTCCATTATCTAAAATGAAATATATTGTAGCATGCCTTAAATTTGGTCTTACAGTCATTTTATAATTCATTTTCTTGGGTGATCTTTTTGTTTTTGTTTGAGAGACCCATTTACCTTATATTAATAGAGTGCAGATTTGGTGCTCAGGGGGGCTGGCACCCTCGTTAGCTAAAATACCATGTTGCAATGTTTCAAAAATCATCACAAAAATCATGTATGTAGTACACATAAAGTTAAGTATAGCCGCAACAATTCAGTTTGAAATTCATCCTAGATGCCAAGAAACAAAAGAGACAAGCAGTCAACCTGGCACTGCTCATCATGTGCTGACAGTGACACCTGTTTTTTTAATCTCAGCATCAAAGATGAATTTCAAACTGAATTGTTGCAGCTGCACTTAACTTTAGGTGTACTACATACATGATTTTTGTGATGATTTTTGAAACATTGCAACATGGTATTTTAGAATGAAGGCGCCACATGCATATGTCATGAAAATTGCACCAAATACTTCAGATTTCCAGCTTAATAGTGAGAACAGCTTGTTGCACTTAAGCTTGTATGAATTTCAGTAGATATTCATAAAATTATTAAAAAGAACAGTGTTATCCCATCAATTTTGTCTGCTTTCTTTTTCTATTGTCGAAGTCTGAAATAGTGAAAATCCTGGGTCCGCCACTGGTTCTGTTCACACAGAGTGCAGAAGTAGTTGGGCTGGCTACAGTTTTGGGCTGGTTGGTAATTCATTTCTTGGGTGATCTTCAAATTCTTTATTTCCTATTACTGACGTTGAGTTTTGTGAATTGCATTTATACTCATTCTAAAGGTCTTTCTGATGCAATTAGAAGAATGAGGACTACTACTTAGCTAATGTAATGGTCTCCAACGAGCCTTTATAGTTGAAAACTAAAGTGAGCAGTTGGTACATGAATGTCAGTACATATTTTTATACAGCACCATTCGCAGCTAGAAGTTCCTGTGTCACCTGTTCTGTAAAATCTGCAGCTACTACTTATCCTTGGTGGATCGTCGATCATCAAATATAGGGATTTGAGAAGCTAATGAAACTGTGATAAATTTACCATGTTCCTTCAAATGCTGATGGATGTGCTTGCTGTTTGTTAGAAGGATTGATGGAGAGGAAGCAAAAATGATTGCATGGGACAGTATGCAGAAAGCAAAAGCAGAAGCAGCAATACGAAAGCTTGTGCTATGCTTATTTCTCGTTTCCAGGTTTAGTTTTTCTTCATTTTTTATGCTTCATTCCTGTTTCCTTTTCTTGGCTGATAGAAGGTTTGATATCCACTCATACATGTAATTCTTCAGATTAAACTTGAAAAGAAAAGACAGTACTCGCAGGAGAGAATTTTCAACAGCCTCAGGTCTGGTCCAGGAAAATGCAGGTGTTACACAGCACGTCAACTGCGAATCATGGTCAGCATATTTCTAGGAGTATCAAAACAGTGGCACATCTCAAATGAGTTCATTGGGTCATGGGTGAATGCTTCAAATGTCATACGTTCTAGAGATATGGCTGTGTTTGGTTGAGCTCAAGTGCTTGCCAACCAAACAGGTGAAACATGAAGCTGCTTTTTCAGAAGCAACTGCTTTCGTATAGTACAATTTTGGAAGCATCTTGGATCCTGTTTTTTGGCTTTTGACTTTCTACTTTTCGAAATGGGTGGAATAGGGAGCTGCTTCACAGAAGTTTAAAGGGAGGTAGAGAGGGGTAGGTTTTATACTTGTTTCACCCAAATAGTTTACAGCTTATCAACAACACATAGCTTACAACAACTTCTTCACTGCACATAGCAACTTTTTTTCACAGCTCATAGCTAAACCAAACAGACATAGTTTCATGATCAGTAAGATGAATCCAGATTTTATCATTGATGAATAGCATTCGCTACTTTTGTAGTTGCAGATATGTCCTTTCATTTCTGCATATATTTGCTTTCAACGACTGTCCAAAGTGTTTCTCATGATTTACTATATAATAAAAGTAGCAGGGGTTCTGAAATTTGCATTTCATATTACTTCAGGAATTGTTTGTGTGGGAAATGAATTGCTAGTCGATTTCAAATTTGCTTGTCACCTTCTGTGACTAACCATTTGTTAGTTCTAGAATAATCGAATTTTCCATCATATATATGAATAGTTTGAAAATGCCAATGAATTAACAAATCAAAATCCACATTTATGTTTGCAATTTTTTTAAAAATAAAGCATTTTTATAGACAAGTATGACACAAACCCAAATATGCTCTTCAGAACTAGTTTTGCATGGTGCAGCTAAACTAAAATTCGTGTATCATTTTAGGCAAGAGTTATTAGCCCTTGAAAATACTATCCTTCTTGGCATGCACAATTTATATTGTATATGCTCGGCATGGTACCCGTGCATAGCCGTGTACCAATGTTAAATTCCTACTCCTTCGTTCCAAATTATATGTCGCTTTGACTTTCTTAATTTATTCATTTTATATGTATCTAAACATATCATTATATCTAGATGCATAGTAAAATAGATGTACCACAAAGGTTAAAACGACTTATAATTTAGAACGGATGGAGTATTAATTATCTTTACAGCTATTTATTTGTTAATGAAAAAATCAAATAGCTCATTAAGCCACCAGCAATTATTTCGTGAAGCTTTTAGGATGAATATAGTTACTTGGTATTGTAGGTAACGCATCAAATACGATATACAGCTGAAAATTCCACCACCATCGAATCGTTTTTTAAGGGGTAGAGATCTGTATCGTCCTATTCCTGAAAACTTTTCATTTTTTTAAAACAACTAAACATATTGTATTAGTTAGGTACATTACGATTATAATTTTCCAAACGGGCCGCGCGAAACGGGCTGGCACGGGCCCGGTGCGAAAAAGCACGGCCCTAGCCCGGTACGGCCTGGCCTCGCCCGTGCCCATGCCTGGCCCGGCCCGTAGCCGTGCCCATGCCTAGGCCGAAAGGTCGGCCCGTAGTGCCGACCCAGGCACGGCCCGTTCCAACAGGCGGCACGGGGCAGGCACGGCTCGCAGCCGTCAGATCGTGGAGGCGGGGCGTGAGCCGTTGGATCGCCAGGTGGCCGATATATAAGCCGCCCGATGCGGCCACTCTCCCCACTCGGCCACTCCCCTCACTCGTAACCCTAGCCTCTCGGCTCTCGCCCTCTCCTCTCCGGCTCTCCTCGCTCACTCTGTCGCTTGCCTGCTCGCCGCTCTTCGCCGCACTCGTAACCTGGGCTCCTCGACGTCGTCACCATGGAGTCTTCCGGCGGGTAAGAGGGTCAGTTCCGGTGGCCGGTGGTTCCCTCTTCTCCCTCTCCGCCCTCAATCTCCCTCTTCTCCCTCAGATCCGGTGGTTCCCGCCCTCAATCTCCTTTTGTTCCCTTATTCTTCATCCCTGAACGTCGATTGAGCCTCGTTCTCGGCATCCTCGCCGCATCTCCGTCATCTGTCCGTCGTCCACATCGCTGGCTGCCGCCACCTCCGAGGCTCCGGTCTCCATTGAGGTACCGGGGGTGTGCAATCGGTCTGTCTCATCGTCGTCGTTTACGGGGCACCGACCGTAGAGGTAAGGGTAAACCCTAACCCTAACTCTAACCCTAACCCAAACCCTAATCCCCAACCTAACCCTGCTTTTATCTGTTGATTGTGGCAGCCGTCGAGGAACTGGAGACGGCAGAGATGGCCCCAGGCGTCGGGCGACACGACGACGGGGAGTTTGACCACTCCCAGAACGACGAGCTACGTATGTGCGGGATGGTCGGAGATGATGAGGACGATGATGTCCGCGAGGACGCTGTCGTGCCCTTCGGCCGTTCTGCTGTTGATCCCCTTCCCGTCGACGACTCTGACCCCCAGTCGACGTGGCTGATGCCGACGATGGCCAGAGCGAGGTTAGCCCTGTCGGTTCTAATCGCCCTTCCACGTCTGCTGTCTGGGAGGACTTTGAGAAGCACTACAAAACTGAGAAAGGTAGAAAGATTAGGTTTGCTGCCACTTGCCTTCATTGCCATAAGCGCTACTCGCTTATTTACGCTCATGGCACTTTGGGCATCTTACTCGACATCTTGCTAAGTGTCCTAAGAAACTTGAGAAGACCCGGGGCATGACTCAGACTCATATTGCTTTTAATTCTGATGGTTCTGTTCGTCGTTGGGAGTACAGTGCTGAGGTAGCTCGTGTTGAACTTGTTCGTATGCTTGCTAGATTGGACCTACCTCTTATGATTGGTGAAACTGAGGCATTTAAAGATTATATTAAAACTGCTCATAACCCTAATTTTCACCTGTCTCTAAGCAAACCACTAGTAGAGATCTGTTTAAATACTACAATGAGAAATGTGATAAACTGATGGTCTATTTAAAGGATAATGTTATTTCATCTGCTGCTATTACCTCTGATATATGGTCTGGAAAGGCTAAAGAAGATTATTTATCTGTTGTGGCTTATTTCATTAATGCTGATTGGCAATTAGACAAAATAGTACTTGGTTTAAGGTTGATTGACGTGTCCCATAATGCTGAGAACATTGCTGAGCGTGTTGCATCTGTCCTTGCTGAGTATGGTATACTTAACAAGGTTTTTTTTCTGTAACTTTGGATAATGCATCTGCAAATAAAAATACTATGGATCAACTGAAACCTATATTTAAAGAATATTTGGGTTCTGATTTATTTTTGCATCAACGATGTGCTTGTCATATTATTAACCTGATTGTGAAAGAAGCACTGGCTGCTGTGAATCCTCTCATTGAGGATTTTAGAACAGCAATCTCTTTTATGAACTCCTCTAATCAAAGAATTACTGCATATAAGAGTTATTGCATTGCTAGTGATGTTAGACCTAGAAAGTTTGGATTAGACATGGATGTTAGATGGAACTCTACCTACCTAATGCTTAAGCACTTGCTGCCTCACAAGAGTACTTTCATTGAGGCCAATTACCCTAGAGGTTCAGGTAGTGGTTTCCTTTTGACTGATGATCACTGGGCTA